TTGGAACTCAAACTTCAGCAGGACTGACTATTTTTAAGAAAGGAAAAGCCCCTGGCTGGGTATATATCTCCTGTCTAATAGCCAGGTCAACAGTTAACAGATACCTGTTATTTCCTCTGCTTAATGTTGCCAACCAACTCCAGATGACTCCCATACAGCCCTGAGGGCAAGGGATGATACAGCTACTGAGACAGTTTACAATGCAACTATCTTTGACCTGTTGCAATCAAAGGGAGGAAAGAAGCTAATTGCACAAGAGCCATTTATATTCTAGGTACATGACTAATTGGAGGAAGAGTTGAAAAGCTCCTACTCAAGATGAGATAAAGAAAGGGAAAAAAATAAAACCCAGTGCCTGAGCTGGCCTTAGAACAATTGTTTGAGTGATGAGTTGGGGTAAACTTTGTATTTGAAGCCAAACCACTTTTTTTACACCTCCTCACCTTTAGGCTGAGTCAGGCTGAGGCTGATTTTCCTGAGTTAAATGTCAACATCATTTTTTAAAAAAACAAAAACAAATTTTTCCTCCTTCAGGAAAAAGAAAGATTCAGCCGCCTGACTACCTTCCCTGCCCATTTAAATAAATGACTCCAAGTTCGTTTGGCTTCCTATTCCTATGAGTCGTGGTGCTGCAATGGTTAGAATGCAGTATTGCAGGCTACTTCTGCTTTCTGCCAGTTATCAGCCGTTCAGCAGTTCGATTCTCACCAGGCTCAAGGTTGACTCAGCCTTCCATTCTTCTGAGGTTGGTAAAATGAGGACCCAGATTGTTGGGGCAATATGCCAACTCTGTAAAACTGCTTAGAGAGGGCTGTAAAATACCATGAAGCAGTATATAAGTGTAAGTGCTATTGCTGTTGCTATCATGTATGACCCCTGCCACGGTGATTTATATCGTAAACTTCAAAGAAGTCATGATTTGTGTATAAACTTAGTGATCTCTCCATTTTCTATTGTTAACAATTGCAGCAAGTGTTAATTACTATTTCCCACTTGGTCAGTGATGATAGTAAAATATCCAAATATCATATCTCAAATCTCCATTTGTAGCAAATCCATGACCTATATAATTTGAGATCCTAATACTGTAGTGAAAAACAAAAAAGCTTTCTGAATTAAAATTGACCAAGGTCTAGAATTTTGCAATTCTTATAGCTAAAGAATTACAATTAATAAAGATGCTGGACCAGGAGTAGGAAAACCTGAGTTCTAATTCTCCCATAGGAATGAAACTAATTGTGTGACTTTGGGCCAGTCACTCTTTTTGAGCTCTACTGTAGGAAGTTCACTGGAAACCACTTCTTGGCCAAGAAAAAGTCATCAGGTGGTGGGTAAACTTGAAAGACTAGCAAAAAACAGCAAAAATAACTACTAAACCTAATCAAAATTAGCAAAAGAAAATGAATAAGACTTATGCAAAATATATTTTACTTTTCCAAAAGAATTAATCAAGCAGGATGTTTTGAAAATCAGGACAAGTGTCACAACCACAGAGATTATAAATTCTTGAAAGAATATTTATAGCTATTTGATAATTTGGACACGATACTGAGGTAGTATGATTCATGGGGAAAGTGTGAGCATAGCCTTGAAGAATTCAACAGATACTTGGCAAAATGACAAAAATAGCTTTTTAAATCATCAGCTGAACAACATAATGCAAATTCAGAGAAATTAGAATGATACTGTAATGGAAACCCTTGTATTCACATATACCCTAATTTCTTCCATGATCTGACTTTTAAAAACATTTTAATTTGCAATTGCATCGAAATAACAGATTCTGATTTATTCTGCATCTCTGAAGGAGAATTATAAGATGGGTGGTGGGAGAATTTACAAAGCAGTATTTGGGGCTAGGGTGCAATTACAGATTCATTTGCAAATTAAAGAGGAGGCAAATTGTTGAATTCAAGCACAGGATCTGCTCAAAGAATGGTAGAACAATGACTTTGTATGGCATGTGATCAAACCCCCAAATTTTGCAGTTTACAGTGTTACAGTGAAATGTCTAAGCTTTAATTGGGAAAGCTAAATTCAAATCCCACTTGACTCATCCATTAATCTCCATCATTGTTAGATTTACTTTTGAATTGACTTATGCACTGGAGCCAGTTTGCACAAGGCCACAGGAGGTGACTGTTAAATTTTCAGGAATTTTGAGAGCAGGAATTCTGAGCCACAATGCCTAGAGTGCCAGTCAGCTATTTGGTGATTTGCAGCCTAATGGTGGCAATGGAGCCCACTGAGCCAATTGTTATACATTTCTTCCGCACATCACTGCTCATCTCTCTCCTTTCCTTTGGGAGCTCAAGCCACATTATGCATAGTGTAGCGTCCTCCCAATTTTTTCCAAAACAACAACCCAGTGAGGTAAGCTGGGCTGACTGAGTGACCTATGCTGAGCTGGGAGGACTTGAAACTGGGACTTTCCAGTCCATGGTTTGCAAATATACCATTGTGGCTTTACATGGCTAAGAGTATTTGTTTAACTTGCAATCCAAGTGGCTCCAGGTGGCATACTGTACATGGCTTAACTGCCTCCTAGTCCCAATAATACAGTTAACATAAATAAACACCCAGAAACAATTATAAAACACATGCACACCTAAGAACTTGGGGGGGTCGAATGCAGCTTCTGGATATTCCAACTTTGTTTCCTCTAACTTAACATCTTTTCTTAAGTCAAAGATGCCCAAAACTGCATCCTGAGATCTTTTACATATAAAATGTCCTCCTTGTGAACTAGCAAGGGCATATTGTCAGAATGGGATTACTTATACCAATGCTGAGAAAAATTCCTTTAATGGTTCGGTTGCTACAGAAAAGTTTATCACCTATATTTTCTAGGCTTGCAAAATGCCTACCCGCTATCCAGCTTTTAACCAGAATTGACTGGATCTAGAGTTAATCTCCAAAGAGCAAGGAAAGAACTCTCCGGTTCCTTATTTATTTTAGATGTCCTATTCCATGGGAAGAAAAAGCAGTCTGGAATTTGGAGAATAAATGCTATTTTTTAAAAGAGTCCCTTCCGCTCCCCCTAATATTTAAACCCTGTAATAGGCAAGCAATGAGATGAGTGAGAGTTTTTTAGTTTGCTTGGGAAACAAGCACACAGCTAATCCTTACTACTGGGGGTGGGGGGGGGGGGGGGGTTGGCTCGGGAAAACCGGCTCTGCAAGAGGGAGTCTGTATCAGCACAATGGGCTCTGTAACTTCCAAGATTGGTTGGCTCCTATGACCTCATCGTTACCTTTTTGTTTGTCTGAAGTTTAGATTAACTGTCTTCAGTTTTATTATGTTTGTCTAGAGCAATGTTTTTCAACCTTAGCAATTTTAAGCTAGGCGGACTTCAACTCCAAGAATTACTCCACCCCCACTCCCACCCCAGCATGCTTCTGCCTGGGGAATCCTGGGAGATGGTCCATCTATCTTAAAGTTGCCATGGTTGAGAAACACTGTTCTAGCTTCTCAAAGGTTTGCCACAAAGAAACTTTATTAGATTAGAGCAAGGATTTTTTTAAACCTGGATTTACATATTAGATACAGAGTTAGGAGGGACCTTGTAGGTCATCTAGTCCACCACTCCGCCCAAGCAGGAGAGCCAACACCGGGTGTCGGCAACCCACAGCTCCGGAACTGCATGCAGCTCTTTCATCCCTGTGCTGCGGCTCCCTGTTGCCCTGTTTTGGCAGAGGGATGAAAGAGCTGTCGCCCTGTCACGGCGGTGGCAATGGCCAGAGCCTTAGTGCGGGAGTGAAGCGCCTCTGCACTTGCCTTTGCGTGGCAACAGGATTGCGCCTTTCTCATGGTACATTTGCTGTTGCCACCAGCAAAGAGGATTGGGAGAGAACGGCGGGGCAGAACTTGTGGGGTGAGGGCCATCCCCCAAGCCTGGCCTTCCTCCTCCCTCATCAGTGGGGCCAAGAGAAAGAAGGGGGCAGTGTGGGGAAGTGCTCCCCTCCTCCAGCCAAGCACAAAAGCCCAGCAGGAAGGGGGATGGCTGGCCTGGCAGAAGTGCCCCCTTTGGTGAGTCAGACAGTGAAGAGGCCTGGCCCAGCTCTTGCAGCAAGACACTGTTCGGCACCTCCAGACATGAGCTGCCGCCTTTCAAAAATGGTGTCACTTTGAGGAAGCCAGGTAGCAATGGCTGGGGCCAGGGGAGGCAATGGAGGCATCAGGGCTGCTCCCCCCTCCTCAGCAAGCCAGGCCTGGAAGAGCGCGGAGAGTTGCAGACCGAGCGCTGGAGGGTCAGAAGGCGTGTTCTGACATCGCCCCAACAGGCATTTCCAGCGTGCGCTCCTCTGTCCCAAAGTGGGATTGAGTGGGGGGTAGGGAGAAGGATAGGGGGCTTCTAGTGGGAAGAGCCCGTCTGGCTTTCCTTTTGGCATGGGGCAGGGGAAAATCCAATAAAAATCCAATTTCCCCCAATAAATGGGAAAATAAAGGCCCAGCGGTCCAGAGTCCCAAAAGGGGGGAGGCTGGAGTTGCCCTGAACCTGATCTGCTTCAGAGATGCTGCAGCTCCTCTCACTCCATTCACTCATTGGGTCATCCTGAAGACCGAGTACTGGATGAGTGTTACGATCTGTCTCTATCTGTGCCTGGCCCACTGGACCTTGCCAGGCAAACAAGAATTGTTCATGTGCCTGATTTGTCCCATTGCACCTGCATGGGTAAGTTACATTATTCTGTCTGTTCTTGTGCAAACATACACATACACACACACACACACATACACACACAGACATATACAGAGATTCAATGGCGAAGAGATGTCTTTTATACCTAAACACTATTCTTGCAGCAATCTGCTCTTGCACATGGATGCAGAATGGCTGGGAAGGGGGCTGTTTTACAAATATGCACTCACTTGTTGGGTTTTTTTTTTTAGGATTCTTAGATCTTTCACATCTGTTCTCTCTCTCCCTCCCTCCCTCCCTCCCTCTCTCTCTCTCTCTCTCTCCCTCTCCCCTCTCCCTCCCCCCTCTCTCTCCCCAGACATCAGATTCCCACCACCCTCCCCCAGGAGACAGAGAGAGAGAGAAGAGACACAGAGAAACAGAGAAGAGACACAGAGAAAGAAAGATAAAAGACACAGAGAAAGAGAGAGACAAGAGAGAGAGAAAGAGAGAGAAAAGACAGAGAGAGAGAGAGAGAGAGAGAGAGAGAGAGAGAGAGAGAGACCTGTTTCCCACAAAAAAGAAAACACTGGGAGCCCCAAAACCTGGCTAGACGTGGCTGAGGGGGGGGCATGTGACTGGATGAGAGTGACATAGAGTTGGCCACTCCTACCCAGGTTTTGTGGCTCCCGGTGTTTTCTTTGGGCAAATGGGTCCAAATGGTTCTTTGAGTATTTGGTTGCAGATCCCTGCCCTACACTATTTCTGACAAATGGCAGTCCAATCTCTTCTTGAAAGCCTCTAGCGATGAAGCTCCCACAACCTCCAAATGCAACCTGTTCCACTGCTTGATTTAGGCCTGCTTACCCAAACTCATGCCCTCTAGAACTGTGCTGAATATGTCTAGAAGCCAAAGACAGGATTCAAAAGCTTTACAAAATCCCTGTTTCTCTCTAGCAACAGAAAAGGGGAACTGTCGTCCTGCTGAACATAAAGTTTTGAGTTTACCTCTTCTGGTTCATAGTAGTTGTGGACTTGTCTTGTCCTGGATCCTCAGCTGAGTGCATGCTGACTTGCATTATTCTGACCTTTGAGAATAATATGAGTTATGCCCCGGTAATGTTACAGGATGATTCGGCATAATCCCCTTCTAAATCACTAGCTAAATTAGCACCCATCAGCAAACCAGGGATTTTTTTTTACTAGATGAGATGCTGTATAGAGAAAACTGTAGGTGCCAAAGGAAGCATGGCTTGGTCCCTACAGCAGAATTGAAGCACTTTTTATGGGGTCTAACAGTTAACAAACTGCAAGAGTCAGTGATTGCAAATAGCAGCATTTGTGGGGTGGGCGAGTCAGTGACATCAAAATGACACTGACTGGGCAACTGAAACTCGCAACCCTTGCACTGAGGATGTTACCTAGTTAGGGTAATGAAACATCTGCAAGAAAACAAGCAAGCTCAGACAGCACCAAGGACTCTACACAACCCTTGCACTAGATGCAAAGAAGGTAGGTTACATCCTGAAAATAAATTTGAATGAATTTTCCTGGGGTTTTTTCTTTGTTTGCATAAGATCATTTTGGACACCTGTTAGGGGCTTTATGTGTTTCCTGTTTCAAAGTGGCAGGAAATCAATGGATAGCTCTGGCTGCATCCTTGGCAAATATTAAATGTAGTGATCTGGTGCACTGTTATATTAAGGTAACATTTTACAAAGTTCTTATGGTACACTGTTATTTCTCTCCAGGACTGCCTACCTTGAATCATGGTGTCAGCTGCTTTTCAAATCATGGGCATGGCCCTGTCTGTAGTGGGCTGGATTGGGGCCATCATCACCTGTGCCTTGCCTATGTGGAAAGTGACGGCTTTCATTGGTACCAACATTGTGACAGCCCAGACCACTTGGGAGGGGCTGTGGATGAACTGTGTGGTGCAGAGCACTGGCCAGATGCAATGCAAGGTCTATGACTCCATGCTGGCTCTGCCTCAGGATATGCAAGCCGCCCGGGCTCTCATGGTCATCAGCGTGCTTCTGGCCCTCTTCGGCCTGATGGTTGGCATCGTGGGTGCCAAATGCACCAACTGTGTGGAGGATGAAGACGCCAAGGCACGTATCATCATTGTTGCCGGGGCCATCTTTGTGGCATCAGGAATCCTTTGCCTCATCCCAGTCTGTTGGTCAGCCAATACTATAATCCGGGAGTTCTACAGTCCATTAGTTGTGGAGGCTCAGAAGAGAGAGCTGGGCTCGTCCCTCTACCTTGGTTGGGCAGCAGCTGCTTTGATGATCCTCGGAGGAGGATTGCTGTGTTGCAATTGCCCCAAGAAAGAGAGCAACAACTACAGTGCTCGATACACGGCTGCTGTATCTCAACCCCGCAGCGATTACCCCAGCAAGAACTATGTTTAAGAGAGTCACGTCATCGGGATGATGCAGTTTCCATCCTGAAAGCTCATTACTGGTGGATTCCCAGAGAGCAGCAGAACTGCATAATGAACATCCCTATGGAGAACAGAGCATCCTGCTCCACAATTTTCCAACATTTCTGGCCCATCAGTATTTTTTTCTCTCTCACTGTTACCACTAAATAGATTTATTCCCACGTATTTCAGCTCTTCTTTTGAAGAGAATCCTTGATTTATGATAGAAGAATTCAGTATAGGTAGATAGGTATTGAATCAATGTCCTATTTTCAAGTAGTTTGTGATAAATGCCATTGGGTGTTGTTGCCCTCTCCCCTCCATTACACAATCCCAAATAGCCTGTAATTGCTCAGAGAACGTATCCTGTTCAATAGGGTGATATGGGGTGGGGTGGGGGAGAAATGGTTACTCTATATCTATGTTTTTGAAGCTGTGACGTGTTGTATAGTATTTTATGAAGAAATGGGATGTGGCCTTTTAGACCTGTTGTTTTTAATTTTTTTGCAATTGCTCTTGCATGCATTTCATACCAAAAGCCAGTTTTTTCCTCTTTTTTTAAAAAAAAATATATAACCTGAATAAAATTAATGCTTTTGTATATAGCAGTTTGCCTTTTGTCTTTTGTGTGTGTGTGTGTCTGTAACTCTGATGAATCTACTACTGGAAAAAAAAGTCTTCTTTGTTTTTTGGGGGGGGTCATGGGCTCAAAGCATTTATCATGTGACTCTTTCCATTTTATTGAATCTGAAAGTGAGGGAGGATGGTTTCTCACAATAGGGCATTCCCAAAGGAGAAAGGCTTGCATGGCAGAAGGGCAGAAAAGAAAGCATGCCTTGCATAGGAGGACTACACTCATAACAACTATATTTCTTTGTCCAGCGGAAGGCAGGAAACCATATGATGATGAATGGTTGAATGGGGACACCCCCACAAATATCCTTTGTTGTGGTTGTTTTTATTGCAAGGTTCACAGATGTCATAATGGGATTTTACAGGGTTTCAGTTTAGAGCAATATTTCTCAAACTTGAGAACTGAGGTTGCCATGACTGATGAGGAAATTCTGCCAGTTGAAATTCACATATCTTAAAGTTGCCAAGGTTGAAAAAACACTGACCTAGAGTGTTGTATGAATAGCTGAAGATAGCTGAAGCTTATTCACTAGCCATGCCAGCAGAGTTAGGTGCAGCACCCAGCCAACCTTGATTTAGCTCAAAGAGCTAAATGAGATGGATTCTGATGAGTAGAACCTTCACTAGATTGGAATGAATTTCTGTATTATGGTCAAGAAAAGAACCGGTTGTCTATGAATGCATCCCGAGCTCAGACTAATGTAGCCTTTACAGTACTTGTATGTGTCTCGTCTTCCTCAATCTGGGGTTATCTAGAAATTGTGATTTGAATGCCCAGAATTTCTTAGGCAATATGGCCATTGCTGAGAATTGTGGGAATTTTAAATCCTTAATATAGAGGTTGATCAGATGGGAGATGGCTGCAGAATATCATGAGTAGGCAAGCTGTTAGTACTACATATGAGCCCAGTTTGAATCTGTTTACATGTTAATCCATAGTTTGTTTACTCAATAAAGTAAAATCGCCTAGGTTCATATCTGCTGTGCTCTGTGGCTGAGTTTGCATAACACATTGCTACAAAAGCAAATAAATCATGCAGCAACATTCATAAAAAACCACCATGATGCCAAAAAAATTAATGATATTATTGTGAAAATGCTTCCGCTTATATATTTACATTAGATATCACATATGGTATTTACCCTTCTTTATTCCCTTGGAATAATTCATGACATGGATGTCTACAAAGTGACATCACATTCATCATGATATCACCCAAACAATTCAAATTATATAATTTGTGGGGTGGCACTGTGATGTCATGGTATCTTCTACTAGTTTGCCTATGGTTACAGCTCTATTCATCCAGCACAATCATTGGAGAAAGTCTGGAGGTGATAGAAAGTATATCATGAAGACTGCTATGTTGGGGAAACACATTTGTGGGTTACATCATGAACTCTCGCTGAAAGATGTAATTTTTTGTAAAGGTAAAGTTTTTCCCTGTCCAGTCTTTTCAGAGTCTAGTGGACTGTGGTTATCTCTGTTTCTTAGCTGGGGAAGCCAGCATTGTCTGAGGACACTTCCATGGTTATGTGGCCAGCATGACTACATGCTGAGGCACATGGAATGCTGTTACCTTCCTACCAAAGTGGTACCTATTTATTTACTCACATTTGCATGCTTTTGAACTGTTAGATATATATGAGCTGGAACCAGTAATGGGATCTCACCCCATCACGCGGTGCACAGGTCTCGAACCTGGGGAATGAACTTTCCAATGGACAAGAAGGCTGATGGAGATTCAAAATGAGGCAAAGCTCTCTCTCAATTCCAAGTCTCATCTCTCTGCAAGAGAAATGGGTTGAGCAAAAATCTGTACTAAACTGTATAGCAAGGGTGCCCAACCTTTTACTGCATGAAGTGAAGAGCATAATGTATGAAAATATCTGTAAAAACCACATAGAAATGTTAAAGGTTTACAATCTTGTAGAGCTGCATTATATGGCTGCATGTGACCCATGGCCATGGGTTGGACATACAATATCTGCTGTATAGTTTAGTATATGTGAAGATCATCATGTTACCAGAGATTGAATTGAGTACTTTTTTCATTAATTTTAATGGAAGAAGCTTGCAAATTACTAGAATTGAGGCCTGGTGGTGCAGTGGTTAGAGTGCAGTAGTGCAGGCTACTTCTGCTGACTGCCGGCTGACTGCAATTTGGCAGTTCAAATCTCACCAGGCTCAAGGTTGACTCAACCTTCCATTCTTCTGAGGTCAGTAAAATGAGGACTCAGATTGTTGGGGGCAATGTCCTGACTCTGTACACTGTTTAGAGAGAGCTGTAAAGCACTGTAAAGCGCTATATAAGTCTAAGTGCTATTGCTAGAATGAATCCTAGGGCTGGGGATTGGTCAGAATCAATTTCCTAGATAATTGTGGTTTAATTAATTAAGAAACCACAATTAAACAGTCATATAGTAGGACAGGATTCTAACCCATGAGAGACATTTTGGTGTAGTGGTTATGGCAGCATGTTGGAAATAGGAGATTGTGAGTTCTACTTCTGCCATAGGCACGAAGCCAACTGGATGACTGTGAGACAGTCACTCTCTCTCAGCCCTAGGAAGAAGGCAATGGTAAATCACCTCTGAAAAATCTTGACATGAAAGCAGCAGGGACTAGTCCAGGCAGTTAGCAGGAATCAACACTGCCTTGAAGGCACAAATTAACAAAAAAAATGTTCACCCAATCAATGTACAAGCTTTTGGCACCAAGGAGTCATGGACAAGTCAGTTACATGAAAAGAAGATCTTTATCAGGTTTGAAACATTCAAGTTTAGGGTAATTTCCATTTCTAGCCCCCATATGCCCCAGGCTAAGAATATAAAGCACAATTTCTGAAACACTAAACAAGGTCTTCATGCAAGAGAATAAGAGCAGGACAAATTTGGGAAAGGATATATAACAGTTGCATTCACATATACATCAATCATGAGTGAACATGAAATCCCTTGGCCCGATATTTTATTTTCCATCCCATAACTTCTAAACCTTTTCTTTCAGATCCACAGACAAATCACCAAGTTACAGATCTTTCCTTTATCTTTCCCATAGCATTAATACTAGATTCCCTAAGGAGATATCCTTTCTTCTGCAGAAGGCTTATTCTTTAAATTCTCAGCAAAAACAATCCCATAGCATCAATATCCCAAGGAGAAATTGTTCTATAGAAGAAGACCTTATTGTTTAAATTTTCAACATGTGGTGATGGAGATAGTAAAGGCCTCTGCACATATTCAGAAGTTCCAAAAAGATTGGTGGTGTAGGCTTGGGTTCAAATGAAGCTGTATACAGCATCTCAGCCAGATGTTTCACCCAACAAGCCTTTCTCAGAGAGATAATTCTACCAATTACAGCTTCAAAACTGTAGTATGGAGGAAGCAGGAGGGAAAGAAGATAAGAGATCACATTGCCCCAAGGAAATATGTACATTCCTGATGAAGATATTAGAGTACAGTATGTAGCAAAACCACAGGAATCCATAGCCTTGAGGCAAGACTAGTTCTTGGAAGAATTTAGGTTTTTCCCAACATATCTTCACTAAAGTCATACTACTGACCAAGCAGAGGTACTAACATAAAACACAAATAGCGATAGAGCTAGTTATGCACAAAATAGTTTGATTCTCAGGAAACTGCTGACCAAATTCAAGGAACAAATTTAAGCTGTAGAACTAGGAATTGGCTAAATTTGAGTATAGACAGAAAGGGATACAAAAGCAACTGGAAGGAAAGAAATTGGCGATGAAAGAAGTTGGGGTTGAAGCAGGAACTCAACATAAGTGTGAAGACTGGAGTTCTGCACACAGATATCAAAGAACTGGGTGACTGTGGGAAAAGATGGAAGAAAGACTAAATACCCAGAAAATGAAAATATAGTACAGAGCTGAAGGATTGGGGGGTGGGGGGTGGGGAGGGATTTTAAGTCATGCTAAGTCTACCACTAAAGCAGGAGTTTTAAGCAACTGTTTTTAGATGCCAAGAAAGGGCAGCACACGGTTAACTGTTTAACTAGCGGTTGTGTTTTTACTGCCAGGGAAGTGAAGCACTTAAAGATTTCTTGCCTCAAATTCCACAATGCCACAAGTGTTACACACTTGAATTAGCAGAGATTGAATTTTCTAGTCTGCTTCAAGCAATAAAACGGCTTGGTCTAACCCCAAGCTTTGGAATTGGAGAAGATAATGGCTTTTAGTTTTGATGTTAACCTTCTCCTTTGCCAAAAAACGTGAGGGTCGGTGCCTCTCATTTTATCCTCAAGGAAATGTTACAAAGTAGATGAGGTTGAAAGAGAGATCTTGCCAGGTTGCTCAGTAGGTTGGGTGGAGAATCAGACTTGGAATTTTAAAATATTTCATTGTTGTTTCGAGTCAGGCTGACTCCCGGTGACCGCCTGGACAGGTCCCTACAGTTTTCTTGGCAAGATTTGCCATTGCTTCCTTCCTTGGGCTGAGAGAGAGCAACCGGCTCAAAATCCCCCCGCTGGTTTCACATCTAAATTGGGACTAGACCTCACATTCTCCCAGTTTCCAGTCTTGTACCTTATCCACTGTACCAGAGGTATTATTCAGCAGGTTCTGACCAGTTCTGGAGAACCGGTAGCGGAAATTTTAAGTAGTTCAAAGAACCTGTAAATACCACCTCTGACTGGCCCCTACCCCATCTATTCTCTGCCTCCTCAGCTGATCGGGAGGAAATGGGGATTTTGCAATATCCTTCCCCTGGAGTAGGGTGGGAATGGAGATTTTACAGTATCCTTCCCCTGCCACGCCACCAAGCCACACCCACCAAGCCACACCACACCCACCAAGCCACGCCCACAGAACCGGTAGTAAAAAAATTGAATCCCACCACTGCACTGCACCAAACCAGTTCTCAAGCTAATATTGGGCGTTGTTGACATTGCCCCATCATGAGAAATATATTTGGGTTTTAGCAGGTAAATTTAGAATGTAAATGTGACAAA